TAAGCACAGAGTGGATGAAAGTAGCTTCTCAGACTTAACGAGATGCCTAACAGTATTATACTACATACAACAATCCTCAATAAGTATATGTAACTTTATCTAAACACGTTGATTTAATGCTTACGGACTCAGTTTAATAAAAGAATTATCCGTTAGACCGTAGATTCGCGCGTTAAAAATAATTAGTTCAAGACATAAGTGTTATGCTTCACATGCTACTGGGATAAAATAAACACTTGTTCCTTTTTTTGATCTCCCTAATTATACTTGGACGTTAAAGTCGAGCGACGCCGTCGGCGGACCCGTCTGTTTAGCATGTAGGACACGCGCTGAATGGATCCTTAGAAATCTAGTCGGTGAAGCATATTTGGCGTGGTACGTTGCTGTCGTTTTCGACATCAAACAAAACCATATCCACTTAATGTATAGTTTTATCTAGCCAATTCGAAGAAGCACAAGCACAGCCTTCGATACTTTCGAAGACATATTGTCTTCGCTACGTCGGTATACGGCCGGCCAACTATTTCATTTTTTCCTCTCCATGACAAAAGACAAGCTTTAAACCATAGATATATTATGTTTCGAGAAGGCGATAAGGTCCAAGTAGAAGGAAGGCCACGCAGGCTTGCAGGTACAGGGTTCGATCCAGTTGTAACATGAGAAGAAAATTGAGTATCCCCATACGTCTTGTAACGGTGTTCATTTTTCGTTTTGAATCTCGTTTCTTTTGCACCCCCACCTTCTGGTAGCCCTTATGTCTAACTGTCGCAATGAGGATAAGCTGCACAGCAACAATAGCACTATATCGGGACGATTCAAGCAAAAAGTCCTTCGTTGTTTTTTTTTCAAGCAAACGAGCGCATTAGACTGAAGTGTGATTTCTGACACGGTCAACAAATATCCACAAGCACGTATAAGTAAGCCTTTTTAGGAAAGATTGCTGATCGATTATCTATTTTATAAAAATATGAGTGGTTGGTCTATATACGTTACAAGTTCTTACTTCCAAAGGTCTCGCCTTGAACATTCAGTTAACCAAGCTTCTGTAGAATAGCGCGGACAAAACACTGCCTAATAAGAGCGCTTTCGCAGAAAAGCACCGTTTGAACATTGTCATTTTTAAATTATTTGTATGCAAAGGTTAATCATTGTTTTCGTGAAAAATTTGATTTTGCTGTAATTAATTGGTCACATTAAATCCTTTTTCTGACGCTGAAGTATAACACGGATCAAAGCCCATTTTCGGATCAGGCAGTACCATTGCCGGCCTTGAAAGAGACAGTTACAAAATCGGTAGTTAGGTGTTCTCTAGATTATGGTTAACGTGCAGGTTACTCTGTTGCCGCTGGCTTCGGACGCTGGAGGCAAAATTCGTTTGCTTCCTCGTACCCATGATGAGAGCCTTTAAAGCGATCCGATATGACGACTGCGATGTTTGATATCTAAATACCTTACTTGGCGTTATTCCAGCAAGCTGGCGAACCCCGGTTTTCTTCTTGACTCACCCTGCGACGTCTTACCGTGTTATGCTTCTCCCGGTCCCGTTTTTAGTGTTCATCAGTCTTGTCGAATTTGATGGAATTTCCATTCCCATGTCAGTATTATCCACTGTCCAGAACCGTAGACAGGCCATGCTTTATTTTCCCAAGTTGTGGGTTCTCCCCTAGCCTATTGTCTGTGGAGTCCAGGGATTGCCCGAGGCGAATCATTAAAGGCAAGAGCGAACCCAACTAAGAACTGGCGTGTCGGGTTCGAAAGGGGAGGAAAGAAAAGTCCTGCCAAGTGCGAAGGTCATAGCATACGAGCCCTAGGTCTAGCTACGAACGTAGCATAATGTCCGATCCGGGAAAGGTAAGGCGTTAGTTGAATGAACGGTCATGCTTATAGAAAGGTGTGTGACAGGTCCCAGGGGTTTCCCTGCGCCCGAAACACGTAAAGGTATCATCCAAGGCATACGCGAAATACTGTCCCCGATTGGTCATACCTTCGTGCGAACCTAACGAATGCCGACCGGCTATGGTTCCTCTTGTAGCTAAATAAATATGATGTGACGGGATTCGATTCTAAGAACACATTGGCAAAACATATTCGCAACGGACATAGCAATTTGTTCATCATGGGATCGAATCAAGATGTATGAAGAAAATATGGTACGATAAGTGTATAATGAGAACGCAAAAAAGCCGTGAAGCGGGCAGCGCGAAACTACGAGAAACGCTACGAAGTTTAACAAAAAAAAAAACTGCGAGTGTCAGCTTGAACGTTTACTTGTGAAGCCCTTTAGATTTTGCCAAGGGTAGCTTTAATTCGCAATAACAATCATTTCGTTGACAAGCTTATTTAAAGGGTTACCCTGAGGCAAGACTTGATCCTTCTGTTGCTGGTCGGACACGTCGTCGCAAGTTGTCAGCCATTATCATGAGCTTTATCTCCGCTAGCTGTGCCGACTTGAAGCTACATGTTATACCCATGACAATAGGATTTTAATGTGTTTCGACATAAATGAGTAATATTGCTTACCTGTAGCAATCCGAAATTAACCTTCAGCATAGAAGATGACAAAACAAGATTTCTGCGGTGTGCGGTCAATATATAACATACGAGAATAGAAGCACCAACAATTTAACAAGTTTAAATCCATTATAGGTTTACATGTATGAACTATTGCTTGGTTCCTTTGTATAGCCGAGCTCAAGCTATAAGGTTTTTTTTAATGCATTTTGCTGCAGTGTATGATTACTATAGTTTACTTACTTACTATAGTTTATATTACTATACTATATAAATCAAATAATCAACTTAACGAGGTTGCGTGACAAAAATCTCGAAATTCAATTCAATTTTCGCCATCATTGCGACATGCAGCGGCGCGTACGGCCTGGCTTACTTACTCAGCTACAGAGCCCTTGATGCAACAATGCATATTATGACAGCTTGGGACACCTGTCGTCAGTCCCGATGAATTTTCGATAGAAACCGATAATTTTCTTAGGATGTGCTTGAACTTGAGGCACAGAACAATACAATAGTGAAGTCACGTTTCCAGCTGTTCAACTACGTTTTACTGGCCTTTTTTTGGCAATACGACAGCCCTAACATGAGCAGAAGACGTTTTAGACAGAAGGTAGGACGACACTGTCCAGAAACAGAGCAATTTACGTAAATCCTACACGTTCTAACGCTTTGTAAAAGGATGTTGTCAAAATCTGTTATTCTTTACGATGCAACGCAAGCTGCTCAGTTTCTATAGTGAAGCTTGAAATGACTGAATTGAATTGTTGTGCGGAGGTCTAACACAGCACAAAAAGTATCGCCGACGACAAACGAATGACCCACTTACGAAGATCTCAATTATTTACTACGTTTTCAAAGCACCAACACTTACTTTAACTTTTATATCATACAGACTACAGTCATTGTTGAATCGGCATCGGCATACACAACTTGTGTAGGAACAAGATTGTATTAAATTATTCGCTCTTTTTTTACAACGCAACACGTTTAGCACCTTTTTACCCAGTAAAATGCTATACGGCTTGAGAAACTTCCAGACGAACGTCGCCTCTGTAGCGCGACTTATACGGAACGCCTTTGAGCGAATATAAAAAGAACTACGCCAATCAAGTTGGTTAATGCCAACAAACTACTACTTTTGATGGCCATGTAGTCTTTTTGCACTATCGACTGTTTCTTTGCTGGAACAGTTAACCGCTGGAATTGACTTGCAATGCAAGTTCAATCATTTTGAAGTATTAAACTCTTCGCTCATCATCGAAAGAAACATCATCACCTATTAGTTTAGGACTTTGAAGCCGTCACACGTGAAATTTCAAAATGGCCCATCTCTACGCTGAAACAAGAAAGAAAACACATTGTGCGCTATAAAACACCAATACACTACACGTGAGGAAGCCACTTCTATCATGCGCTAGGTCAGAGCTGTTGGTAGGGAGTTTTGCGCTAATTTAGATGTCAACGTTTACCATACAGCCCAAAAAGACGACCCGGTCATCAAACTCGATATTTAGCATTTCCTGTTGTTCTACCTCAAAGGAGCAGAGGAATATACTGATGCCAAGGTACATAGAAATCGCTATGTTCAAGCATACTTTTACTAGTAAGCTATTTTAGAGCTAGGTGGAACGGAAGGAGTTTATTTTTAATATCTGAATTTACTGGCGAACCCGTGAGGCAATCGAGCCCCGTGAGGCAATCGAGCCCCGTGAGGCAATCGAGCCGCTCGTTATGCATATATGGGTTATGACAATTTTTCGAATTGGCAATCGTAATCTGAAAAGATGGCCCTTTCTGAGTGGGTGAATGAGGTCTTCTCACCGAAGAGCTTGAATGCTGCAAGCATAATACTTTACAGGTTTACACTTCGTCTAGATTTCAAGCACTAGGTTAACATTATAAGTACTGTCCTCATTGGGATAACTTAGTTCCACTTATGACCGTCTAGTACTTAGCTCATTCCAACATTAAGTGAGGTTACACGGAATAGACACTTGAATTTTCAAACAACTTAGTTTACTTACTGAAACGTACATATATATCCAAAAGAGTAGGAATACCTTTGAATTAAAATTCTATTTTGTATTTTGAAATCTTCCTTTAGAACACTATACAATTAAAATAAAAAATTGAGCCTGCATTGAGTGCGTAGTCCCGTTTTTAATTTTAAAATCAAAATTTATTTGAATGATGCTTTTTTTTTTTTAAATAATAACGCTAGTTCTCATCAACACAGCCTACACTATATTGGGCGAAAACATTGGGCAACATTTTGTAAAAAAAAAACCACAGTCGTATAGTAAAAGTAACAAATCGAAAGCCTCAATCGGGTGATAACTTTCTTGTAAGAATTTATCATTTCAAATTACATTATGATTTTAAGATGGGGCTCAAATAGCACATACAAAAAAAAATGATTGTGCTTGGTTATTAAGTTGAAATTGTTTATATAATATGGCCGACGTCTATAAAACCATGATATAAAACCCATTATTTTAGTAACCCTAAGACAGCCTTTATTTTTAGTGAAGCATGTAAATCACACGAGCAATCTGCCTTCCCTGTAGCGTAATTCCTACTACGCCAGCTTCGAAAACTTTCTTTGCTCTTGGTATTCGCTTGTAATACTTTTCCACCACCTTAACAGATTCAGATAATCTTTCTTTTCTACGGAGTCCTGAACCAGGTCATTCACTTCTTGCTTAGACGGTGGCCAATTACGAAAACCATATTTGCTTAACCTTCAATCGTTAAAAAATGCATCTTTTAAAAGAAGTATTCTGATATGACAATTTTTAGTAAAGTAGAAAAAAAACTCTTAAATTCCAGTAATATCGGGCATGTCATTTTGTACGTCTTCATTAACGTTATTGTATACAGAACTGACCAAGACCACTTACTCTTCTGAAGAAGCTCCGCCTAAGTTTCGCCGTCCGACGTTGTGATGATACATTCCCCAAACAGCTACAAACTCGCCCATGTGAGGGTTCTCTGTCGACCCGGTACCTGTACGTCTTTCTATAGATGTAATCCGTATCTTGTTGGGGTCATCTCCTGAGTTAGTACGCGATGCTACAAACTGTTCGTTTGTTTCTCTAGATAATGACTTGCCGTCAAATCCAAGAAGTCTTTCTCCGCTGTCTCTAGTCAGCGATTTCCCGTTTGGTCCAATGGGGTTCCTGAATTCCTCAACAGAGGAAGCTTCTTTTCTACCCATTCGCTTTCCATCTAATCCCAATGGCCTACCGTATGCATCCGTTTCGATTGACATCTGCTTTGTATCAAATGGCATTAAACTCTTACCGTCCTTGTCTGGGGGGGCACTGAAAGCATTTGTTGCGACAGGTACAAGATTTAAATCACGTATATTCCCTTTGCTGTCTAGTGGAAAAGTTTTATTGGTAGGCGGGTATAATGAGGCCTTAAATGTGCTCTGTGGTTGTAGCTGTCTTGATTCTAGGTCACTAGTGGGTGTTGAGAGTCCACTGAGAATCGGTATACGGAAACTCCTTCCTGCTAATATGTTTTGCGGAAGCTTCTTTAATTTTAACTTTATTGGTGGACCGGGGATACCCAATGGCGCAACAAATTGACCCCGTGCATCTTTAGATAAAGGATCACCGTTGTAGTCAGTAGGATTTCCGTTTTCGTCTGCTGGAAGTGCTTCGCCATATGGTCCAATAGGGCGTCTAAACGCGTCAAGAGGAAGAGGTTTTGGATCTCCATGCGGCCCAAGAGGCCTTCCATAGAGATCAGTTTTTATAGGTCTTTTCTTTGAATCAAAAGGGGTTAACGGCTTGCCATCGTGGTTTAACGGAACGCCGAAAGCGTTTACTTTTAAGGGCTTGCCATCCGGATCAAGTATTCTTCCAAACGCGTCCGCCTTTAGAGGCTTGTCGTCTTCTTGTAAGTAGGTTGCTAGACTTCCATCTGGGCCCACCGGCTGACTGCTTTTGGGTGCCACTGGATGGCCATGGTTATCGACTGGTAATGGTTCACCGTTTGAAAGCAGAGGCCGTCCTTTTTTATCTGTAAGAAACGGTTTTCCATCAGGCCCTATAGGTTGGCCCAAGTTGTCAACAGGAAGAGGCAGCGGTTCTCCAGAAGGCCCCAGCGGGCGGCCAAATACGTCTGTTGGAACAGCTTTCCCTTCAGAGTCGAGCGGCGGAAGTGGTCTTTTATCTGGACCAAGTGGCGATCCGTAAAAGTCCGTCAAAACCGGCTGATGACCAGGCTTTAACCTAACGCCTTCCCAATTATCAGGCAGAGCGGTTCCTGACGGCTCTACGTATTTCAGAGGTTTCCCATCAGGTGCGACCATCTTTCTTGCAAGTGGTGCCAGATGCCATCCTCGTTGGTCATGGTGCAACGGTTGACCATTTGGCCCAAGAGGTCGACCAGCAGAGTCTGTCAGTAAAGTAGCACCATCTGGTCCAATAGGTTTCCCTTTTGCATCTATAGGTAATGGCAGTGGTTTCCCGTTGTGTAGTGGCCTACCGAAAGCATCAGAAGGAAGTGGTTGCCCATAGGAACTAGCAGGTCTAAAACGCTTTTTGTCGAAACCTATTGGAGTTCCAAAAGCATCGGTCGGCAGAGGAAACCCTTTTGCATTTAAGGCCCTGCCACGTTCATCAACAGGAGCAAGTTGCCCATCAGGGTCTATGTACCTCAGCGGTTTAAGATCTGGTCCTAAGGGACAACTGCACGGACCTCGGGGCCCTAAAACTCTTCCTTGCGGATCCCGTGGTAAAGGTTTATTATCGAGATCCAAATATTTTCCGCTTTTGTCGACCGATAACGGTCTTCCATCGGGTCCTATTGGACGACCGATTGGATCAATGGGTAAGGGAAAAGGTATGCCGTTGGGGTCAAGTGGCCTCCCGAAAGCATCTATCGGAAGTGGCTGACCCTCCAAATTCGCTGCTCGTAGAGGCTTGTCATCTGGCCCGAGAGGTATGCCATACGCATTAATTTTCCGTCGTCTTCCATCATCAAACAATGGGTGACCTGCGTCACTCATTGGCACTTTTATGCCATTAGCTTTGAGATATGAAAGAGGCTTGCCGTCAGGTCCGAGCAGACGACCCACAGAATCTACTCCATAGCCAGGCATCGGCGAATCAGCGACCACGGGAATGGGTACTTCCACCGTGGGGCTTATTGGGAACCGAACTCCGTCAGGCATTAAAGGATAACCTTCTTTATTCGTTTCGAAGGGAATACCATTAGGGGCAATGAAGTTGTTTAATTTATCTTTCGGTACAGGCAGCGGTTCTCCATTGGGCTTAAGCGGACGTCCGAGTATGTCGACGGGTAAAAGGTTACCTCTCGAGTCAACTGGTTTAAGGGGTCTTCCATCTGGATCTAGTGGTGTTCCATAGGCGTCTGTAGGCATCGGAGCTCCACGCCAATCTAGAAATCTACCTCCTGGACCCCGATCAAGAAGTCGTCCATCACGACCGAGGTATGTTAGAGGTTCTCCGTTTGGACCAAGAACCTTTCCGTCAGAGTCTCGAGGTAACCCTTTTAGGGGTCTCCCTGCTATGGGTCTTCCAAGTGGCGGTACTATTTGTTCGTTCTTGTTCTTCGGGAGTGGCTTCCCGTTAGGCCCCAAAAACCTACCTTTCTTATCCGTTGGAAATGGGAGGCCGTTTGGTTGAATCGGTCGTCCATGTTCGTCTTTAGGAATCGGATAGCTAGTGGCATTAGGAGCTAATGGACGGCCATACCAATCTGTTGGAACTGGTTTCTCCGTTTGATCTATCATCCGCAGAGGTTTTCCGTCCTTTCCCAAAGGACTTCCATAGGAATCCGTAGGAACTGGAGCACCGTCCCGATGAATAAGGGTTCCATATTTATCCATCTTTATGGGTTTGTCTTTAGCGTCTATGTACTTCACGGGTTTACCATCAGGTCCTAGCACACGTCCTTTATCATCACGCGGTATACCCTGGAGTGGCTTTCCTACTGGATACAAAGGCCCCAAATGACGATTTTGATAGTCTGCTGGAAGCGCTTTGCCGTTTGGTCCGGTAGGTTTGCCATACGGGTCCGTAGGCAAAGGACGACCATTGGGTCCAATATGGACGCCGTCCTGGTCGATAGGTACCGGTAACGGTAAGTCATTCTCATCAAGAGGCCGGCCAAATTCGTCGGTGGGAAGCGGATATCCCTTTGAGTTCGCAATTGGTAACAATTGATAGTCTGGACCAAAAGGTATACCATAAGCATTTGTTGGCAGTTGAGTGCCGTCGGGTGATACAGCTCTACCTTTTGCATCCATTGGAACCTTGGTGCCATCCGGCAGAAGAAATGTAAGAAGCGGATTTCCCATTGAATCAGCTATGGTTAACAATTTTTTATCCGGACCATAAGGGACGCCATAAGGATTTGTTGGCAATAACGTGCCGTCTACTCCAAGTGCTCTCCCCTTGGAGTCCAGGGGCACCTTTGTTCCATTGGGTAGGAGAAACGTGCGATCAAATGGTCTGCCATGTTCATCCGTTGGAAGTAGGTTTCCTTTAGGGTCCGCAGCTCTCAACAATTTTCCATCAGGGCCGAAAGGTACTCCAAACGAATTCATTGGCAATGGGATGCCGTTTGGTGCAATAGCTCTCCCGAAGGTGTCTTTTAGGGCTTTGGTTCCATTTGGCAACAAATAAATGGGAAGTGGGTTTCCTTTCCAATCGGCTATTACCAGCGGTTCATTGTTGTGTCCGAGAGGAACCCCATATGTATCTGTGGGCAGTGGCGTGCCCTCTGGTGTAACAGCTCTGCCTTTGGCATCAACGGGCACTTTTGTACCATTTGGATAAAGGAAAGTTCGATCCTCCCCGAAGGCCTTCGATAAAAGGTATGGAACTTCAACTGGCTTTCCTGGAGGTGGCAGCACTCGACCGTCAGGGTCGACCGGTAACGGTGTCCCATCTGGACCGAGCGTACGATTCTGTTTGTCACGCGGGAGCGGTTTCCCGTTGGGACCAATTGGGAGGCCTTTATTATCAACTGGCAATGGTTCGGGTAACCCGTCAGGTCCCAGAGGTCGATTGAAGCCATCGGTAGGCAGAGGATTATTGTGCCCGTCAAAAACCATAACGTTTTTACCTAGAGGAATCGGCACTCCATACGCATCAACTTTCCCCTTGTAAGGTCTCGAATCAGGACCACGGAGGGTCCCATTGCTATATATTGCTATCGAGGTTCCCTCCGGTGTACGGTAGACGAGCCGGCCCAGTTGTTCAGTGGGCTCAAGAGTATCTTCACAGTTGTCTGGAGGTAGAGTCGTCGTCGTAGTAGGGCGTTTTCTGCATCTAACCTAAACGGAATCAGCTATTGTATTAACATTTTCCAGAACCTCCAATAATTATCTTGTTATATGAGCTTTTAATATTTACCATTTATACGTTTCTAAATTCAATTTCAAACGTCTAAATGTAGAAATTATCGATTTATACCTGTTTTCTTCATTGCTTTCCAGCTGGAAAACGTCACAACACACAAAATATACAGAAATGGAAAAGTTCTAGACTGCCAATTTTTTTACGCTTTTCATGCATCAAATATATTTAAATAAATCAGTTAGTCTAACCTTATATCTAACAAATGTATTAAATATTTGTTTAATATAATAAATAATAAAATAATGGATTAGTTTATGCCAGACATCCTAATCAGCTACGGGAAAGTTCTAACAGACAATCAACAGGAGCGCTCCCTTCATTTTACACTGTGCGCCATTCACAATTCTTTCTCGAAAAATTCGATGATAAATTACTGGTTTATCATAGTGACTCAATAGAAGCTTTAAGAACAGCAAACGAATCTAAATGCAAAATTGATTGAACAAGCTCGAAGTTGTACGGACACTCAGACCATTTTTATAAGTTTGGTCCAAAAACTTTGCACTTGTCCTTGGTGGAGCTGACCCAATTTCATTCTACATTGTCATATTTCGATCCAAAATAAATACCCTGCAATGCCTGTTGTATAATCGTTTCATAATAAACAATGCCAATGAATGATACTCACGCGTCTCATTGATGGAAGCTGCACCGATCGTTCACTCTCGGAGCTGAGCAATGGCTTGGCCAAATGCAGTTCCGGAGGCGTAAGCCGTCCATCATCGCTTGCAGATCTCACCAATTTTGTATGTAGTTCATTGCCTTGCGTGGCAAACCACGCAAGCTGTTCGTGTGCCTCGACACATTTTAGGGGTAAAATGATCGTGTTGACCAAAATGGGGTAGACAAGGGTAACATGTGATATCCATTGCATGGTGACTGCAAACGATGCAGTGATTTTAGACCGTCCGTTATGTGTCGTTCTCGATTTTATACGTTACGAACAAAACGTGAATAAAGGTGCCAACTCATTAATTAGAATATGTCGATATCAATAATAGTTGAGAATCAAACTCAAAGTTGGAGGCCTTCGTTTTTGGTCGAAATAGTTAGTAGACTCTTTTGAAGAGATCGAGTGGACGGGCTTTTTAGCATCTGACCTCATCGAGACAAAAAATGTCAACGTATACCATTTTATGCGCTGACATGTTAATGCAATGAGTATGACAATATGTAGAAACATGATTAATATTGTGATTGACTCATCTCGAAAACCTGGGGGCTGCCTAAAAGCTTCGTGAGAATAACAGGTGACATAGAGAGCCTTGTATTGTATTGTACATTTTCCACTTATATTAGACAGCGAAAAAGACGAGTAGACAAATAATTGATAATTTCACTTGGATTGTCATTATTGTCGGAGAAACGTTTAGATAATGATTTCCGTTCTCTGCTTGATTTAGCTACATGACTGCCTGTCTGCATTTGAAGCAGAATAAGACATTCCGTTATGATGAAAAAAGCCCCCAGCCGTATTACTGCTCGCGCATAGTTTGTGTTCCGACTACTAGTTAAACAGAAAGCTTCGGCACTAAATCGTTAATTCTGACATTTTTTTCATTGTACCAGCTCTTTTTTTACCACATCTGCTGTTCAAGCAGCGTAATTGCTGAAAATTGGGAGGGGGCCAGGGGTAGGCATAAGTGATAGGCAAGTGGTCTCATATTGAGTAAAATTTTGACAAGAAGGTTTCGACTTCTCAATTCTTCGTCACTGCTGATTTTGTACTTCGTTCTTTTTTGCTCAGCGCAACAACCTCTGGCCGCGGGACATGAGGTCGGACCTGCGGTCAATCGACTGTTATTAAGATTATTGCGATAGTGCTTGACGATTCCTCACCGTAAAATGATTGTGATTGTTATTGTTAGTACAATTACAAGTTGTTCCGTTCGTTTTGGTGGTCCTGAACCTTTGTATATACATATATATATATATATATATATATATCTCTATCTAGACAGAATTGATTTGAAACAAGTACATACATAGATATGATATAGATAGAGTATTATTACAGACGATGACAGACACAGCAGTATCAGGGGCAGTAATCCTCAATAACATCTGGGTATTCACGTTTACAAATCGATAATGTTGCACTGGAGCTAGGAAGATGAGGCACGCATTCAGTCGTCGTGTTGCTGTTATCAGTCATGGCGGCCGTTGTCTTAACTGTGCTCGTCTGTTACTTCGACGCTGAACTCAACAGATAAACGGCATTTCGATGTTTATTTGTTACGCGCCTGGGCCAGTCACAACTTGGTAAATGATCGGTCGATGGAACGCATATGTAACTGTAGCAAAGAATGATGTCTCATAGTACATAATGTGATCTTTAAAATGCTTCCACAGAACAGCCTGCTCAGAACGTCGTTGCTCATTCACCACGTGCCGTACACTGGTAGAAGGTATCAGTCATTCGAAACTGGGCCGCGAAACGTATGGGACAAAAGAGTGACTACGGAACGCAATAATCGTGCTACTACCACCACCTGATAGACAGCTAATTAGAAAAAAAGCGAATAATAAACTAGGCACAAAGAAATGAATAACTTCAGTGTGATAGAGAACTATCACACTGAAGTATTTTCATAAAAGCGACCAACGTGGTCCGGGTGCCTCTGATAGCCCATTGTTACTCTAATCTACTATATCGATGAGTATCCTTTACCAGCCTGGTCTGGGATTCTAGGATAACTGTACCGCATCAGACACTCCGAGCCAAAAACAACAACAACTATACAAACAACTACTGGTAATATCAGCAGCGTTTTGTAATTACCATCTACCATCTTTTGACCTTCCTCTTGGCATTGGCACCAATTCAACTGTATTGTGCCCTCTTATTAATTCCCAACGAGTCTAGTACCTTAAAATGACCGATGCAGTAGATAAGGGATCGTTTGTGAGGGATTATCTCCAGTAGAATTGTTCACGCAAAGTTCATTCATCTATATATAGTGTATTCATATATTTATACTGGTTTGGTAATCCATAGCGTATGGTATCCTAATTTCTCTTAGTGTTATTTCAGTACATTCCTTCACTCGATATATATGGCCATATCAGACTCTATTGTCAGCTTCCCATAAAGATCTCGCCCATCTCCGGCAAATAATGGCGGTGCACGGTGGATGTCAACAATATATCACTAGTTCGTACTGTAACCGACCATCATCTTGCGAGAGGCGAAGAATTGCAAGCAGCGGCGGTCCATTTGAATTTCACCCGCCACACGTTTTCCCCTGTTTCCTCTCTGGTTCAGATGGCGTCTATCGTCGAGATTTGATCATTTGTCGCCCGTTTTTCTCTGTTTAGGACCTCAGGCGAGATTCCTCTTTTGCTGCCGATTCACTGTCATTGCTCCGATACGCACCACAGTGTAATGTTCGTTTTTTTTTTAATTTTCGATTTTATCTTCCCGCCGATTGCGATATCTTTGAAGGCCATCCTCGGCGCTTTTACTGCTACGAAAAAGAGCAACCTATATGAGACGAAATGGCGATAATAGCACCAAACGTCGTGAAAATGATAGACTAGTACCAATTTAACACTGCAGTGTTACCACTGTGAGCAACGGCCAACACAGCAAATGTAGGGTCCTTCCCCCACGACTGCGTACAGTTATGTGCTAAGCACCGGAATGATTCCGCAGCTTGTACCGCTAGCCGTACTGCAGTGCACTCTAACCGCCGTGCTGAAACACAGCTTGCCTTTTTCGTGGTCGTCATAGCCCCACATCCGACTGTTGTCGCTGCAGCCATATATTTTAATTTTCAAATCGTGACAATGCTGAAAAGAGGACACAGGAAGGACCAAAGAGAATAAGGGGAAAAAGCAAAAAAGAGTCGACGTTTCAAAGTTGAACCGCTTCGACGGCGTTACGTCTTCGTCCGTTCCCGTTCCACTTTCGAGTTCCGTCGACGACGAGGCCTTCTTTAAGAGCAGTAGCGGCAGCAGCCACAAAGGGTGCCTCGAATCGCATAGCTCGGCGACGCCCGCTGGCTCGTTCCTGGTAGTGAACGTCCGATTCCGGCGATGAAATATGCCTACGGTATTCTGCTTCGCGTCAGCCTCACTTTTAGTTCTTGGCTTGTCATCGTGGTCTTCACTCTCTGATACACCCCCTCCCTCCTTTAGGCTCAATTCTTTCTCACCCTTTGGCTTTTTCGTTTTTCCTTGGTAGTGTGAGGTGCTGGCCTTTTTGAGTAGCGCATCGTTCCATCAGTTTCGTTTTCACGATGAAAGATTGCGCGCAAGAAATAGTGCACATTTCCTTCGTCACCCCTTTGAACTGAGAGGGAGAGAGGCTGAGCAAACGTGGTACTGGGGTACGATGAGACACGGACCAGAAACCGGGTGTTTACGCCCATCTCATATTATTGCTCTAAACCTTTCAGAGCTCGTTTATCCACAGGCGTAAATGTAATATGTTGCCCTCAGAGTCCACTAGACCGCCAGCAAACGCTATCCAACTTGAAGTAAGCCAGCCACGTTTTCTGCCATGCGTCCTGTGCAGCAAATGTGCTGCTTAATACCACCAAGACAGCTGCATCGCTTCGATGATAGTAAGAGCTACCCCAACAAAAATCGGAGGAAATTTCGTCTGCTGCCAAATGGCCGCATTCATCATTTGCCATTTTGTTCCGCCACTACGGTACCCCTTTCAGTCGTAGTCTCTGCACTTTCAGTGTATCCCCAGTATTACCCAACAAAGTCTTTAAAACCCTTGATAAACTCACAGATTGCACACTACTTAATAATGTCCTTCTGCACAGACTTCTGCTGCTTATTTCCCGATAGTCCTTGTAAAGTTTCAACCTCCTCTCCCTTCGCTACCGCTGACGCTACCTCTGGCTTATGGTGACCCTGCGTCCCCAGCACTTTGCTCATTGTCCATTCATTCAACTTTCTTTCAAGCGCTCCTTTATAAATTTGTTTGGCTCTAGGGCCGCTACTATTTTTTCTCACAACAGGAGAGAGCTTTCACTACCTGAGCCAGTATGCCAGGCACTACTCCAGTGAGGTGTTGGATCGCAGAAGGAAAGTTAAAGAGGGCTAAATGAGCGTCGTAGAAGAACTCAAGAGCGTGCCACGCTACAGAAAAGGCTTTGATGGGCTCGTTTCATAAATTTCTATAGATTTCCAAATTGCGACAGTCACGTCGGTGGTCCACGCTCCCGCAACCGACGCCTACCGGTCGAAGGGGTTCGACAAATTGAGTCAAATCAAGCTCCCGAAGATTATTTGGCCATAGGAAAATGGCTAAAAACGTACTATCCATGGCTGGCCCCTTTTTTGGTAAGTGGAAGCAAAAAAGGACGATAAGTGACATCGAAGATAAAACTGTGCGACCTGATGCCATATACGTTGGTTTATGGAGGCTTTCATATTTACCTATAAGATTTTAAAAAGGCTTTAGAATACACATCTCAGGCAAAATATGGAGTTATTTAAGAGCTTCAGAGAAATAGGATTCATTTGGTGCTATTGGCACCCGCAGCTTCCTCTGTTATGTGTATACTATATTACTACTCCTTACAAGGGGTACAAACCAGGCGTCTACCATATACTTGTGAATTTACGCTTTAGCTTCATAAAACTTATCTAATACTTATGCTTTAAGGTGAAGTCCGTTGACGCTTCTGCTGGCTAACTCGGTGCTGCTGGATTGTCTAGATTAAGCTATTTTAAATCTTAAAACTGTTGTTTCTTTAGAACAAAAGCTCAATCAAAGGAATTCGACTACCTGACTATGAAGGCAGATGTCAAGGTGACCCTTTGCTCCCTAAAAACAGTGAACATGTACAACTTTTAAAAAAATCTTCTAATTCTATGTCGCTTTGTAGTACCTCAGCAAAGTCGTTTTTTATTTGGAACAAGTGGGGACAAAGATGTTATAAATTGATTGCTTGTAAATAGGATGCCTACAGAGATTGGGAAAAGCTGTTAAAAGTTTACTGTTTCTATTAAAAATCCAACGTCACGGTTATTTATTGAATAGATCTCTGTGTACATACGTGAGTGTACTCTCCATTATCTAACAACAAATAATTTCTGCCGTAGTTACTAACGGCTATTCTATTGCGAA